CAGTATTCCCCTCTACTTGAGCTGTCAAAGAAAGATGCCCTGGTAACCAGCAGTTAGTGTAATGGCTATGTCGCTGGCCTCCCACGTAGTCGACCCTGTTCGCATCACAGACCTGGTGGCTTGAACCTCACGCCGGGCACGTGTGTGTGCGTGCCCAAGATCCTGAGAGGACAATGGAGGAGAAGGGATTGTGGCATGGCCATCCCCCCTGGGGGGTGATTTCTCGCTTTCTGTCTCTATGTTTCTCTCTGTCTGGCGAGCGCATGTGCCCTATAACGAAAAAAACTCTCCAAAAAAAAAAAAAAAAAAGAAAGATGCCCCAAACCTATCACTGACATATACACCATCCTGGCTCTGGTTGAATTAATTATGCCGGAAGAGTTTAATACCCATCCTAGTCCAAAGGTGGAAGAACACATACAGGGCGATGGTGATTGGCAGGAGCAGATTGTAGAAGCAGAGGCTGGCTGTGCTTGTGCAGCCCTGCAGGAAGTTTTCCTCCACAGAGGCCGAGTAGAACAGCCCCGCTACAGAGACCAGTGGAATAAGAATAGTCAGCGTAGGGAGAGACAGAAACATCCTTCTCCTCCACTTGTTACCCGCGACCTGTGCTGAAAGGTACTTGATTTTCAGGAAATCGAGCTGCTGTTGTGTGTGTAATTATAAGCTAGTGCTGCTCTGTTTCTTCTTGCTTCTTATTTTGATGTGTTGTCCTGGCTGCCTGTGGTATCATGTTAGGAATCCCATCAGTGATTGGATAGGTTATTCCCAAATCTTTGTTAATCAATTCATTTGTTGTTGCTTCATATCGGAGTGGCTTCTTGGAGAGCGGGCACACCAGGAACTCCAGCAGCGCCAGGTTGAAGGTGCGGGGCCGACTTCTCTGCCCTCTCGCTCAGGTAGGCCGAGTACCTGGTCCCCGCAGCATGCAAGCTCCTACAGCGGGCTGCGCCGCGCGTGTCCCCTGCAGCAACGCGAGCCGGCCACAGGCTCTGTTCAACATGGTCCAGCAGCCCGAGCCCAGCGTGAGTTTTAAGCCACCGG